GCTACTCAAATAATGTGTAAAATTTGTCAACAGGAGATAAATAGTCTTAAATTAATTTTTCCCTCTTTTATATTCCATTCAAAATAAAAACAAATAAAACATATAAACAATAAGAAATACATAACTAAAAATCTAATTTGAACGAAAAGGAGCAGAATGAAGAAAATCATCTCAAATTTCTGCCCTCTTTTCCAAAAGAAATAATCAAACAAATCAAGTCGAGGTAACTTCAACCATAAATGGGGAGATTTGTTTATAAGACTTATTTGTAAGGGAATTTCCAAAGTTGTGAATGGCCTAAACACATGTTTCTTGTAGGAGTCTGACCTTTAAGAAGTCATATGATAACAGCAAACTAGATAACTCATTATATCATATCTAGAAATCTCAAATGGATAGAGTTTATAAAAATATTGGATAGTCTCTAATGATATTGGGTTAATGATAGTATTTAAGAATCTGCTCGAGGTAAGCAAACCAGAACTAGGCTCATGATATGATACTGTTAAAAAAACACAATCACTACTTTTGAAGGGTCAGAACATCGTGCATTAATCTCTAACTTCTTAAGGATAAGGTGATTTGGGTTAATTACAAAACATTTAACCGTCATTCCTATCTGAAATATTTCATGACAGGCCGCATGATCTCCTATCAGCGGCAAGTTATACATCCTGCTTAAATATTATTGTTTGAGCATTCAAACTATTGTTTTCCTGTTTATCTTTCTTCTTCTTCTTCTTCTTCTTCTTCTTCTTCTTCCATACACTTTTTGAACCTTTTCAACTCCTTCAAATTTTTAACTATTTCAACAATTTTACATCAAAACGTTCAGCTCGTTAAGTTCTTTCCTGCCATTACCTTTGGCATTGATATCTTTAAACATTTTCGAGTTATTAAGCCTTTTCTGCAAAAAATGTCCCATTGAAATGAATGGAATTGGTCAATTTTTAGCAAATTCCTATCGCTTTTTTGACCTAAAACTCTATTGGGTTCCTTTTAACTTAGAGACTTCATTCAAAGTTTAACAAACTCACAAGACTTTCTTGCTTAACATATTAAAGAGGCTTTTTGATATCTTTTAATGTTTTTCTAAAATTGCAGGTAGAAGTTGAGGTACGACTTGAACTTTTCAGAAAAATTCACTAAAGTTATAATGGGGAAAGATAGGAGCAGTGACCCTCCCTTGCTCCATTTCTGGCATTGTCCCGAAAGAACCATAGGTCTGATTGAAATAAGACACATGCTGACTTACAGCTAACGAATATACCTTCGTTTTAAGCTATAATTCATGACTGTACTCCAAACATTGTGGTTGCACGGTTCATTTGTTTGAGAAAATTCAAATGTAAAAAAAAAAATGTTTCCCACAACTCTAAACAGAAAATTCCGCACTCTAACTTTTGAACCTCACATCTTCTGTGAACAACTCTTTACTACCCCCACCAAAACAAATTATAACTCAAAAAGTAGGAATTTTTGTCAGCTTTTCAGAATGGGTTTCATTTTATCTGTAAGTGTTACCGTTCTTTCGCTACAAGCCCCAGAAAGAGGAGAGACCCAGATTTTCCCTCATTGAAACCCATGTTAAAGGAACAGAGAATTTCTCCTCTGATTGGCTTCAGACAGCTAAAAGTTTCTGGTCATAGCTTCTAGACAATTCATGGTAGGCATATAAAAATTCACACAGATGACCATTGTCCTGAGGCTAGCACAATGGCTTGCTTAGCAACTAGCTAGTGAGCTAGCGTCTGGTTAAAACCAACTTCAAAAGTGGCTTAACTTACAGATTAACTAAGAAAAGATAAAATATATTATCAATACTCACATTAGATCCTCAGTAGACACCACAGACAGCAGAAATAACGTGTTTGGGGCTCAAAATTCATGTTGTTGACCGTGGTGGAAAAAAAAGTCTTGAGGCTACATCACTTCTGGGTCACTGAACTGTCACTCAAGAGAAACCACTGTCCTATGGGAGAGGACTTCTCAGAAGTCCCACCCACCCAAAAGGGTTGTGTCAGAATTGCAACCAAAAACTCAGGGTTTGCAAAGAAGAAAGCCAGAAAGTGTAAGTGCAAATCTGGTAGTGAGAGCAAAGCTCTGAGCAGCGAGAACGAAACGAAGGAAATTGATAACAAAAACACATAGAGGCAAATAGAAAAAGGAAACATACTTTGTTACTCATTTTAAGAAGTTGATTCAGATAGTAAGTTTGACTTTTGCAACTTTTTTTTCCTTTAGTCAATATTTTTGTTCTGTCAATGTCTTAATTTTTGTTTGACCATCAAAGTGTTTTTCTTGATCATTTTAAGAATCTGATTCAGATCGTAAGTTTTTCTTTTGAAACAATTTTTTTTGTCTCAATATCTTAATATTTGTTTGATCTTCAAAGTGTTTTTCTTGATCCTATTGGCACAAATCTAATCTGATACAGCTGTCTGAGTGGCTGGTCCCAGACGATCTTGGAGGTGAACCTGCTGGATGTGGAGGTCCTGGGCTTGTGTGGTTACACGTCGTCTGCGGTTGTGAGCCCGGTTGGATGTACTGCCATATTCTCTGAAATTTCTTTGGAGACGGCTTATGGTGGAGAAATGAACGTTCAATGCACGAGCAACAGATCTGGTTGACATTCCTGCTGTCAGCATGCCAATTGCACGCTCTCTCAATGCTTGTGGCAACTGTGGCATTTTGCTGTGAGACAAAACTGCACATTCCAGGGTGGCCTTTTATTGTGGGCAGTATAAGGTACACCTGTGCACTACTCATAATGTCGGATCAGCATCTTGATGTGGTACACCTGTGAGGTGGGATGGATTATCTCAGCAAAGCAGAAGTGCTCACTATCACACATTTAGATTGATTTGTGAACAATGTTTGAGAGAAATGGTAATATTGTGTATCTGGAATGAATTTTAGATCTTTAAGTCCATCTCTTGAAAAATCGGAGCAGAAACAAAGGTGTTGCGTTTATATTTTTGTTGAGTGTAGAATCTTCTGCATACATTTAAGTCTATGAACACATCTGGTTTCTGTCTCCATGAATGAACAAAAATTTAAATCCATCAACAAGATTAAATCTCAGAAGCATTTTTTTAACCTTTGATGATACAGAGCTCTTAAACCTGTTTGGACAAGAAATGATCTGGAGTTACTTCTGCTTCCTATTCAAATCAGTCCTCAAGACACATTTTATTAACATTAGCTTGTATGTTCTACCAGCATACAGCCTCATTTATTATTAGACAATATATTTAAAGGTGGCTTTAGTTTGATCCAGTCTGAGGATTTATTTACACATTTTTTTTGTGTTAGTCAAATTTCAACACACACAACTTTAAAAGCCTAAAATGTTGCCTATGTTTGTTATTTTGTTCTAATTCCACAAAAGCAGCCACACTAGTAGCAGTGATGAAATAAAAAGAAAGTAGCAGCTTCTTCTCCTGACTTACCTGCTATTCCCTCCATGTCTGCTGTGGGGCTCTGTCGCACAGCAAATAACAGCCTGTTTCTCTCTCTCTCTCTCTGTCTCTCTCTCTCTCTGTCTCTGTCTCTCTCTCTCTCTCTCTCTCTCTCTCTCTCTCTCTCTCCACCTAATCTTCCTCACACTCTTCCCCTCTCTTCTCCACTCCTGTTTTCTTTTGTCACCTCTCCCTCTGATCGGTGAGGTTTTAAGCTTCTTTCTCACTCGTGTGAGTCCTTGGCGTGTCACTATTAATTTTGCTAAAACCAGACAGACCGAACCTTACTCTAAAACAATTATTTATATTCAATCTTTTCTTTGTTTTTTTTGCACATTATCTCTATAAAATGATGATAATTTGGTTTCAGCTTTTTACCAAACATGTAAGAAGCCAAATACCGTCTATAATGGAGTTGATGACCCCTCTAATTGGATGTGAAGCGAGAAGATTTGCACCAAAATCCCTTAACGTTGTGGCTGGCCTTAAGGTGTTGTGTCACAGTGCTGTAGAGAATGGTACAGTGTTAAGAGGACTTAAGTATTAATTACTCTACATGAGAATCACTGTGTATATCAGGCTGGGCTTTTGTGTTAAAGCAGGCTGTGGAATTAACACAGGGCTGCATTAATCCCCCTCTTATTTTTCACATCAGCACTGGCACATCTAAAAAACACGGTCCATTCAGGCGTTAATTACATAAAGTTCAATGATGTGTGTGTGTTTGAGAGTGTGTGGTGAAAGCCATTTGTTTTCTAGACGACATCAGAAACACATTAATCAATTAGTCCTAGGTGATAAACACACAAAGCACACCATCGCGTTGCACATGGGACTCCCAGGTTTCAAGGTTGCTGCTGTCCACTGACAAGCATTCAGTCCGACACACACACACAGAAACGCACTGTAGCGTGAGCCCAGACACACTCACACAGATCTAATTAAAACCATTGTTGTGAATAGATCTGATTCTATTTCAGTGTGGTTAACAGTCCTTCATGGATAAGTAATGAGCTGGTGCCGACGGAGGGAGAGCACCTCAACCCTTAAACGCTCCAGCTCTGCTGCTGAAGTACAGCGAGACGCCTCCAAAGGCTTTAATGGCAGCAGCTTCTGTCTGTAACAGCAGAACGAACGTGACTGTAAATCCCTCCTGCCGCAGACCCGCGTGATGCTTAACCATTTGAAGTCATTAATCACAACATGGAGTCAGAATCTTAACAAATCAATACATCAACTCTCACCTGTTCACTCTGAACAGTGGGACCTTCTGTCCTTGGAAATAATAGGAATGCACTTTTTGAGTTTAAATGTAAACCAATTACAGCAGTTCCATTTAATTACATATAATCTTTTTATTTCTGAGAGGACACAACAGCTACTAAGAACATTAGCAGAAGCACAATCAGTAAACAATTAAAAAGTTATTAACCACACTGTAAAAAATAAACTGTCAAGTTTACTGTAAAATACCGACAGCTGTGGTTGCCAGGAATATACCATGAAAAAAATGTGTAATCTGTAAATGAAAATACAGGCTGTGTCTCAATTCAGGGTCTGCATCCTACCTCGGCCGGATTCGTCGGCCGGTTACGTCACAGCGCCGCGACTCGGCCTGTCCCAATTCGAAGACTCCTTCAAATGCGGTCGACGAATGCGGCCTTCTTTTCGCCTGAATGAAGGATGGGTCGGGTGTATCCTTCAATAGGTAGCATTTCCCAAGATGCCTTGCGGGCCGGCCGGCAGAAAAACTTAAAAACAATGGCGGACAGTGAAGCGGGAGCTGTCGGAGAGGATTGCGCATATAAATGTAAGTATAAACTTGAAAACTGTCAGTTTAAGGACTTTTTGTGATACATGAACGTTATTTTAGTTAGAAATGTTACAGTAAAAGTGCTTGTATTGCGGTCTCGGCTCGTATGTTCGGCCGCGCTCGGTGTCGTACTTCTCCCACTACGTTTCCCCCTGATTTTAATAGAAGTTTGTATTTTAGGACCAAAAGAGAAAACCAGGGAATTTATTAAGCTTAGGGCGGAGATGGACCACATGATCACCGGAGCAAAGTATTCGGCGGCTGTGGCATGGAGGTACAATAACATCTCATATTTTAAAAACTCGTTTGAGTATATTTTTTTCTGCGAAAACATGAAAGAAATAACCCGTTGTCCTCTTTTCTCTTCCTGTTTCTTTTCTTACATGTTTGTTAAGACTATTCTGGAGAAAATGGGCATCCAGGGGAAGGTGCCAGCGATGAGCTTCTGGAGCTGATCTGTGAGGACATGAGGCTGCAGAGCAGCAGAGAGCACAGGAGAGAAGGAAGAACTTTGACAGCTTTTTACTTTGCTAGAAAAAAATGGTTAATGAAGATTAAACATGTACATGTAAAAGAAATATCTAAATAAAATCAGTTCTGCATTAAACTCTTGAATTTTATTTTTGTTTACAAATGAGAATTGTTTACTAGAGGGTATCCGCTGGGTCTTGAAAAGTCTTAAAAGGTGATAAATCGGTTTTGGTCAAAGTAAGACCCTTAGAAAGTATTAAAAACTATTATCACATCTTTGCTCAGGCTCAGCTAGTCTAAAGTATTTTCTCTGAATTAGCTCTCCAACAGTCAAGGAAATGATTAACCCCCAGAGACCCACGGTTGTAGTATTACAACATCAGATTTAAGTCTACAAAAATAAACCTTCCCCATTTTTTTTCTTTTTAAAACCACATTTACATTGCTAATAGGTCCTATTCAGTTCTGCAACACTATTGGCTGTTAAAATGTGTAAATAGGCCCGTTTATCTGGCCTAGAACAACATGTGAAAGGTTAAAAATATTTTGCAGTTGTTTTCTAAATATTGGGTTTCTGGGGGTTAAAAAGCTAAATAAAACGTCGAGCTCCATCGTTTAAGGTTCCTTCTGCCCAGCGGTTCCACGGTTGCTAGGCGACGGAACGTTCGCCGAGGGAGTTCATGAAGGCTAGGCCTGTCCAAATTCACAGCCGTTAACATCCGGTCTACCCGGCCGACGGAGGACGCAGCCCACGTCGGCCGGGTGGGCTGGGTCCTTCGAAGGATGCAGACCCTGAATTGAGACACAGCCACAGTATACTGGTTTTGTAATTGTCACGTGCGTGCTGGGCAGCGAGGTGGTGATCAGAGGAGGATCCAAGCGCAGGGAGGAAGAAGGCGAACAGGTGAGTCCGTTCAACATAGGTTTATTGAAGAGACACGCTGGACACTGAAACAATGACTCCACAAAGGACACAAAACAGACGGGGTTTAAATACAGGAGGACCGGGAGCTAAGGTGATTGGGAAACAAGAGGCAGGTGGGAGCAATTAACGGAGACACAGACAAAACCTAAGAGTAGACAGGGCAGGACGTGACAGTACCCCCCCCCCCCTCAAAGGGGGGATCCCAGACGCCCACAGGAACCAGGAGCAGGGCAGGAGGAGGGGGACCCGGAGGGAGGGCCCAGAGGAACCGAGGGACCACAGGAGAGGCGGAAGGGATCAGCAGAGTCAGGAGGCCGGCGCCTGGGGCAGATGAGGAGACGAGGATGGACCCTTGGGGGCCTGTGCCTGGGGCAGATGAGGAGACGAGGACGGACCCTTGGGGGCCTGAGCCTGGGGCAGATGAGGAGGCAAGGACGGACCCTTGGGGGCCTGCGCCTGGGGCAGATGAGGAGGCGACGGTCCCCTGGAGGCCAGCACCTGAGGCAGAAGAGGAGGCGACGGGCCCTGGGAGGGCAGCGCCTGCGGTAGAGGAGCCCTGCAGGCTGGGCCGGGGACACAGGCTGGACCGGTGACAAAGTTCCTGCAGGCTGGACCGGTGACATAGTCTCTGCAGGCTGGGCCGGTGACATAGTCCCTGCAGGCTGGGCCGGAGCGGCCTTCAAAACCACCATCAGAACCAGAGATGTTGGACTGGACGGAGCGTCGACCTCTTGAGTGCAGAGAGCATCCTCAGATGAGGCGACTTCAGATGAGGCGACAACTTCAGAGGAGGCGGCGTCATCAGACCAGCCGACTTGGGAGGCGACGACTTCAGACGAGCCGACTTGGGAGGCGTCGACGTCAGACGAGCCGACATCAGGGGAGGCGACGTCGTCAGACGAGCCAACTTCAGGGGAGGCGACGTCGTCAGACGAGCCGACTTCAGGGGAGGCAACGTTGTCACACGAGCCGACTTCAGGGGAGGCAACGTCGACTTGGGAGCCGACTTCAGAGGAGGCCACGTCGACTTGGGAGCCGACTTCAGGGGAGGCCACGTCGACTTGGGAGCCGACTTCATAGGAGGCCACGTCGACTTGGGAGCCGACTTCAGGGGAGGCCACGTCGACTTGGGAGCCGACTTCAGGGGAGGCCACGTCGACTTGGGAGCCGACTTCAGGGGAGGCCACGTCGACTTGGGAGCCGACTTCAGGGGAGGCCACGTCGACTTGGGAGCCGACTTCAGGGGAGGCCACGTCGACTTGGGAGCCGACTTCAGGGGAGGCCACGTCGACTTGGGAGCCGACTTCAGGGGAGGCCACGTCGACTTGGGAGCCGACTTCAGGGGAGGCCACGTCGACTTGGGAGCCGACTTCAGGGGAGGCCACGTCGACTTGGGAGCCGACTTCAGGGGAGGCCACGTCGACTTGGGAGCCGACTTCAGAGGAGGCCACGTCGACTTGGGAGCCGACTTCAGAGGAGGCCACGTCGACTTGGGAACCGACTTCAGAGGAGGCCACGTCGACTTGGGAGCCGACTTCAGAGGAGGCTACGTCGACTTGGGAGCCGACTTCAGATGAGGCCACGTCGACTTGGGAGCCGACTTCAGAGGAGGCCACGTCGACTTGGGAGACGACTTCGGGCATGTCGACTTGGGAGACGACTTCTGGCACGTCGACTTGGGAGACGACTTTGGGCACGTCGACTTGGGAAACGACTTTGGGCACGTCGACTTCAGAACAGGAAGGAGCGTCAACCACCTTCGACTTCTGGTCAGGGGAACTCTGCTTCTAGGTCCTCGACTTCTAGACCGCCGACTTTTGGACCGCAGATTCTTGGACCAGATCCGGTACCCTCCGCTTCTGGGCCCGATCCGTCAGCTTATGGGCCGGTACCGTCTGCTTCTGGGCCCGATCCGTCAGCTTGTGGGCCGGTACCGTCCGCTTCTGGGCCCGATCCGTCAGCTTATGGGCCGGTACCGTCTGCTTCTGGGCCCGATCCGTCAGCTTGTGGGCCGGTACCGTCTGCTTCTGGGCCCGAGCCGTCGGCTTATGGGCCGGTACCGTCAGCTTCTGGGCCTGATCCGTCAGCTTATGGGCCGGTACCGTCTGCTTCTGGGCCGAAGGCAGAGCCGCGGCTGGGAGAGCTGCCTGGACAGGCTGGACCGGATGCGATGCGTCTGCCGGGGGCGTGTCCAAACCGCCGTGCCGGGCACGGCCAGCGGCGGCCTCGAAGCACCGTCCTGAAGCGCAGGGCTGCGGTGGCTTCCGGCGACTTTCCCCACACCGTGGACCGACTCCGGGGGAGCAGATCGCCAGCCTTGTGCCCTCATAGCTGGAGCGATCCCGGAGCGTCTCCCCATCCCAACTCCCGTCCGGTTCTGGAAGGGTGGCGAGGAACGCCGAGGCTGATGGTCGTGGACGCCGGCGGCGGCGAGGCGGAGCTGGGGCTGGAGAGGGAGAAGCTGGCCGGGGGTCGGACGTGAACCACTGGAGAAAGCAACTCCACGGGAGAATCTCCCCGCTGGATCCATTACTGGTTGTTGGAGTCATTCTGTCACGTGCGTGCCGGGCAGCGAGGTGGTGATCAGAGGAGGATCCAAGCGCAGGGAGGAAGAAGGCGAACAGGTGAGTCCGTTTAACATAGGTTTATTGAAGAGACACGCTGGACACTGAAACAATGACTCCACAAAGGACACAAAACAGACGGGGTTTAAATACAGGAGGACCGGGAGCTAAGGTGATTGGGAAACAAGAGGCAGGTGGGAGCAATTAACGGAGACACAGACAAAGCCTAAGAGTAGACAGGACAGGACGTGACAGTAATCCTAAATTTTACAGTAGACAATTTTTTTAACCAAAATCATGGTAGGAAAAAAACTAAAATCTTTGTCAATTATACAGTAATTTCATGTAAAAAATGCTACTTTACATAGCTTTTTACGGATTTTTACAGTTAAAAAAAGGTTATATTATATTAATATTTACATTGATTTGTTGTTAATTTAACAGTACTAGTAATAGTATTAAAACCTTATTACGGCAAATAACTGTAAAAATAAAAATATGGTAAACCTTTGACAATAAAAAACACAGTGAAACTGTATAAGAAATTACAGCATTTTATTTTTACTTAATACATTTTACGGTAAATTCCTGGCAACCACAGCTGCCCGTATTTTACCGTACATTTGTCAGTACAATGATAAACTAAAAAATTCACTTTACATTTAACATTTGTAACCGTTAAATATAGAAAAATATAAAGATGCTCAAATAAGTTAGTGAAAATTGCTGATAATGAGAAAAATTGACATAGCATTTGAGAACAAAATCAACATATTTGTTCTATTCCTACCCACAGCATAGATCTTGAGAATACAACATGTGTTCATATATTATGGCTGGTAATCTGTGGAAGAATGAAACATGAACATGAAACACAAAATTACCTGCCCCTGACTGATCAACAGTAATGAGTCACTGGGTCCTGCCTTGGTGAAGGAAACCACTCAGTGGATTTTCTAATGGCATGGTGTCAAAGATACAAGCTCTGCAGGAAGACTTCAATGTCGATCAGGAGTTCACTTTGGTCTAGCAGGATCCCCTCTGCAGGAAAAAATGGACAAAGTTTCAAAAGTTTGATCAGTGCTTGAGCAAAATGCACAGAAATGAACATGCTCTCAAAAACAGATCTAAAGATAAATTATTTCTGAAGTTTTAACAACACAGTTCTTCAACCTACTAATGTCAAAGTGATACATAGACAACGCAGCCCTAATCACAATCATAATTTATTGGAAAACATTGTATTCAAGTCTTCTATTGATTTATCATATAACTTGAAGTTAATGATGGAATCAGGGTATAGGCAGGAATCTTGAAGTTTATTTTAATACCTTTTCAAGACTCAGTTTTGTCTAGCAAATGAAGTGACTGTTAGGTATTAAAGAATACTAAGAATTTCTTAAAAGGCAGACATGTTTGCTTTCTAAACTAAACTTTTCCTCATGAATTTAAAAGTATTTGTTTGACATTTTCTGACCTTACAAGGTCAAGGCCCACTGCCCCCCCAGCCCCCCCGTAGTTCTGCCCCTGGAGCGTGTATCTTTTTCCTTCCACTGTTAGTCCTTCAGGTAAAGTCATAACCAGATGCCAGGAGTTATCAGGTGATCAGCCAGGCTAATGATGAGATGCAGAAAGAAAACAAATCCA